AAGCCCGTTTATATGGCATATGATATCATTTTTTTAAATTGCGCGAACGGTGTAAGTCTTATGATTTTTTTAGCAGGTGGCAACCCTATTCAAAATAATGAAACCTTCTTGCACATCTAGAGGCCCAGCCCTCTAATTTGGAACCTATTTTTTTCTAATACAATGAACGGTGCAGGTTTTATAATTTTAAAAAGGGGGCAACCCTTTCCAAAAAAGTCATACCTTGCTGTACATTTAGAGGCCAAGCCCTTTAATTTGGAGCCTCAGTTTTGAAAATCGGATGATCTGTGCAGATCTGATGCCGTTAACAAAAGATGCCTTCATGTATTGTATTTATACATAGTACATACATATTTAGATTTGATCTAACCCTGGAATTTGTGTATTGGGGAGTTATTAAAATCCAGATAGGAGCTTTTAAACTATTAAATTCGAGTATACACAACTCTGTAATACTTGATTTGTAACTTTGACTTTTATTTTTGCCTGAAAAAATAAAAGGCAACAATTACCGATTATTTTCTGCTCAAAAAAGTAAAAGGCAAGTTTTAACTTTTATATTTGCCATAAAAAAATAAAAAGCAGATATAATCGGTACTATTTGCTCAAAATGATAAAAGTCAGATTTTTAAAAGTCATGGAGAAATCACAGTCTATAATGTGAAATGAGTCTAATGGTACCTTTAAAAAAGCTATAGCATAATTTTTTCACTATGCCTTTTTGATGTCAACAATTGTAAAATAACTTTTATTTTCAGTCTCTGGTACATACATAGTATTTATATGGGTCCTTCCACGTCAAAACGCATGCGGCTTTGCCCAAAAATGGTGGAGAGCTAAAGTTATTTTTAAGATGTGAAAAGTGATGTGTTTTTATGTAGAATCGAAGGTTTAAAAAAAAAAAAACAATTCGGTACTAAGGCACCATTTTCCGACCAGTCTCCCAAAAATTGTCCTATGAATATATAAGTTTTGGGGTCGTTGAACCAGAATCCGGGTCAGTTTGGTCTCACGAAGCCATATTGGGGTCATTTGAAGATCAATTAGACGAACTATTGAAACCTCGAAAGTGAATCCACCAACTGATTGAAATTGTCTGTGAAATATTATCGAAGTGATTTTAGAAAAATCTTTAGAAAAGTCATAACTTCCGAAATTGTCTATTGATTTTTATAAATGGTACCTAGTTTTACTCTGAATAAAACATTATTTTCAAAGTAGTGAATAGAAGAGACTATTTTCTTTTGAAATTTTTACAAAAAATGTGGTGGTAAATTTCAGATTTATTCTAAAAACTTTCCACATGTTTCACGTTTTTGAGTTTTATAGCGGGCTAATCATATTTGTCTGTGGCAAATCGACATATGGCTAGTTGTTACGAATCCGGCAGAGGCGCAGTTTTGCCATTTGTCACAAAACTGAAGTTGCCAACCCTTACTACTGAATATTGGCACATGTCTCACTAGGGATGGAAACTTTTGAAAAATAATCGATTCTCGAATCTTATTTAACTCTTACAATTCTTGGAATCGAATAATCGATGGCAAGATTCGAATTATTCGATTCTAATCGATTCTTTATTTCATTCTTTCTTTCACTTAAAACCCCTATAAAAACAGCCAATTATTCAGCCACCAATCATAGCTAATAAGTATAACACTGTGGAACAAATTCAGGTTAGCAAAAGTTAGGTCGATTCTGAGAGTGAGGGGTGAAAAAAAGGCTAAATTAGAAGACCCGTATCGCGGCGTTTGTTTATGTTAGTTCGATTTTTTTTTAATCGACCTTCGAACTTTGCAGTCAAATGCAATAAATTTCTTCCCCTTCTTCCTCTTTTTCCTCGTCTTCCTCTTTTTTGTTTCCAACCACCGCACAGGTAGCGATTTTTATTTATTTCGTACAAGCGAACTAATATCAAGAAATAAAGATTCAGTTAAGACTCGAAACTCAGCCGAAGCTGATGTCTTTTAATTTTCGCTCGGTCGTGATAAAATTCGCTATTAATTTTTTTGGAACTTATTTCATTTTGTGAGTGATTTAAGTTAAGTGCATCGGTTCCATAAAAATAACATTGTATAATATACATTGTATTAAAAATGTCGGAACCAAAAGGTAAAATGGACCATTTTTGTAATGTTTGTGGACGTTTCATAGCAAGCGATGAAAAATGTGACAATGCGAGTGATTGTTTTTTGGAAGCCTATAAACAATAGCCGTCATCGATTCGCCAACAGTTAGCGAGTGGCGAAACGAACGAACTCAATGAGGTACAACCAAACTCGCTATCATCTATCCGTGCTAGCTAACTTTGTTGTTGCTTTCACATGCCGAATTCTTCTTTAAGCGACCGGAACTCAAACATAGCGAGCGAGAAGTGGCGAATCGATGACGGCTAATATTTCTCGCAAGAGTTTATCACTGACGTAAACTATGTCCCTAAAAAAGTTTGCTTTTATTGCTATTCAAGTGTTATGCAATGGAAAAGTGAAAAGAAGAACGCTATGCCTTTTGGTATACCAATGATGTGGTTATCAACAGCCCGCATCAACAAGAAAATTGCTATGGATGTATCAACTACCATAAAACTTTGAATAGAAGGAAAGCAAAGGATAAAACTTATGTAGCAGTGCCAAGTGTCCAATTACCATTACCGCACTCAGAATTCGTTCCAGTACCAGATATCAGTACTACAACCGCCGCTGCTATATCCATGCATTTCTTCTCAGAATACGGCCCTGGTGAAGGTACATCCTATGAAACATCAAAGGACCCAATCCTAGTCACACAAAAGCAATTGGATGCAATTGTTGCAATTTTGTGTTTGACTCAGAAAACATCAGAACAACTGGCTTCATTTTTGAAAGGAAATAATTTGCTGGCGAAAGGTACCAAAGTAACAGCATATCGAAAACGCCAAAAAGAGTTAGAAAAGTTCTTCAATGTGAATGATGCAAAAAATTTCGCTTATTGCAACGATATCGAAAAGTTAATGGAGACGATAGGGTTAACCTATAAAAAAGATGATTGGCGTTTATTCATCGATAGTTCACTAATCAGCGTAAAAGTTGTGCTTTTGCACAAGACAAATAGAATGCCTTCTGTTCCAATTGCGTATAGCACTGACACTAGTGAAAATTTCGATAATTTGAAACACATTCTGGAAGTAGTCAAATATAACGAACACCAGTGGCGCATTTGCTGCGACCTCAAAATAGTTTTATTGATTACAGGCTTAACAGCATCTGGCCGTCCAAAATATCCGTGTTTTTTGTGCGATTGGGATTCACGATACGGAGAAGGTATTAAAGGAAGAAACCAGTACAAACAGCATAACTAGAATAGTCGCATTGGAAATGGCCTAAAGACAATAGGCTACACGAAAGTCTTGTTCCTGAAATGAAAATTTTGTTGCCGTTGCTCCTCATTAAACTTGGCATTGCTAACAATTTTTTGAAATGTATCGCAAAAAGACCAGCAGTATTCAACCGCTTAAAAGACATTTTCCCAAGACTAAGTAACGCCAAAATTCAGGAAGGGGTTGTTAATGGTCCCGACATACGGAAACTAATGAGTCGTCAAGATTTTGACCAAGTTCTGACAGACCGAGAATTAAATGCATGGCTCGCATTGAAAGCAGTCATTAAAGGATTTTTGGGTAAAGAACGCAAAGTCAACTACAGGCAATCTGTTGCAAACATGTTGGCAGCTTTCGATGAAATTGGGGTTAATATATAAAATTCATCTCTTGCATCAGCATCTTGATCAACTCGCTCAACAGTTGCCAACTGAATCTGATGAGCAAGGCGAACGTTATCACCAAACTGCGCTTCCATTTGAAATAAGGTAACTATAGAGTGTGCATATTTTGAATTCCTAGATTTTTCTAATATCTTTGTCAGAGTGCACAATTTAAACATGTTAACGATTGAAAACTATTTTCGTTTCAGGTACAGAGGAAGGAAATCTCCAGATGCAATACTCGCTGAAATTTGTTGGTGGTATAAAAACACCTTTGAAGAGAGGAAGGCGAAGAATATCTGTTGGACGAAATTATCGACCTTTCTGATGATGATGACGATGACCAAGATATTAGAGAGAGCAGTGATGTTGATCCACAGCCGCCTGCTAAACGGCAACTGGCCAAATCATTAATTTAATTTATTTAATTTTTTTACTTAAAACTTTTCATAACTAACATTTCAAAATTATATTTTTTCCATATTTTTATAATTTCGTTTTCAATGTTTCTTCAAAACCAACACTGAAAAATTTGGTACATAAGAAATGAGAAGTAAATTAATATTAAGCTGGAAAACGCAAGTTTTGTATTATGATTGTTTTCTTTTTAAATGAAATTTATTGAAGAAACTGAGAAGCATATTATAGATCAAACAGAAAGCAAAAAAGACTTAGTTTTGTGGAAAATATGTTCCAAAAGCATGAAAAAAAAATTTCCAACATTTTGCTTTATAAGCACTACAAAAATTTTCTAAATCAATTTTTTTTTAATTTAATTGTTGCACAGGTCTCTAGCAATGATTTGGCTTTTACAGATTGAAAAAATATCAATCAGTCGACGAGTTATAGCCAAAAAACCATATAAACAATATGCTGAAAATCGGCATTTGACTGCAAAGTTGGAAGGTCGATTAAAAAAAAATTCGAGCTAACATAAACAAACGCCGCGATACGGGTCTTCTAATTTAGCTTCTATTTTCACCCCTCACTCTCAGAATCGACCTAACTTTTGCTAACCTGAATTTGTTCCACAGTGTAATGAGTCAATTAAAATTATTGTAACAAGGGTTTTATTAATAAATTTTAACAAAAAGTTTGTGAGAAAATTGCTTCATTTGCTATAACATGTGTGATTGACACATATTCTGGTAGTGTTTGATATGGAAAGTAATAAAGTTCCATCCTAAATTTCCTCCTTAAAAATTTCTCCTTTCATTAACTCATTTCTAGCATCGCTATGGATATGCGCCAATTAGTCGTACTTAATATTTCTATTAGTCATGCCAGAATGTGCAATTGTTAATAAAGAAATATTATACGTATTAAAAGTAAAGGGTAAGGATTTATGTTAAATGCATTTTTATTTATTTCCTTTGGTTTTTTTTTTGCAACTTCAAGTAAGAAATTACTCCAGTTAAATGTATGTTTGTATTAAGATAAATATAAGTAAAAGTATTACGAGAACCAGATACTTTCGGGAGCAGACTTTAAGAACAAAAGCATATTCAAATGTTGAGGACTTAGTCTACTTGGTAGTTGATTTGCAATAAGGCCAGTATGAGAAAATAGATGCTCACATGGTGTTGATGTGGCTACTATTGGTAAATATTTGTTTGCCATTGTTGATAGATTTAGGTATTAATTTTCAATTGATTTCCATATGACCATTGGATTTGGATTACTTCCTCTGTCGACTGCGGGTCGATTAAGGAACTCTCTTAGTTCAATCGGTAATCTGCCTGGTTCATCGCTCTCATGGTATTGACTTAGTTGTACCTCTTTGTCTAAAAAATCCCAAAAATGCTGACGACTTGAAGATGGTTGCTTATCAGGAGTTTGTTGACCTATACATTCCATAGTACTTTTTGATAGTTGAATTTCTGTTTTTAAAATTTCACCTAAATACACGAAAACAAAAAAAATATTAAAAATATTCCTTTCCTTCCTAGTATCTAAGTCCTCATGCTAGACATTTACCCGCAATAACCACAGCGCGAGAGGAATTACAAATACTTTGACATCCTAGTTTTTTATAACGCGGGTCGAGCAGCGTAGCGATAGAATATAATTTAACGAGCTCGATATTCGAAAACTTTTGTTTGATCTCCGCAGCTAATTTTTTTGTAAAGTGTTGTCCAATCAGTGTGGCAGGAGAGAGGTTATCAATTCCCTGGAAAAATAAAAATAAAATACATTTTAGTAAAAAATCATAGTTTTATAGTAGTATTTTAAAAAGTTCTAGATTAGTGTTTTTCATAATTTGTTAGCATAATGATAGCATTATAATTTACAAGGTAATTATGTAAAATACGCAACAATAAAGAAGCATTACTCACTAAATTTTTTTAATACTCACTTTTTTTAGTCCTTTAACTAATGTGTTTATCTGCACTGACTTCGTGAGTTACCATCCAAAGAGGATGCAAAATATCTCTGACTTCAATAAGTGCATCAAGTTCGTCACCAGATAAAATGTCTGGTGGCTTTGATCGGGAACTCTTGTCTCTTGGAACCTTAAGGAGTGACGGCTTACGCAATCGGCAAGATTTATGAAACGATCTACCATTTCATAGCATGAATTCCATCTGGTTTTTACTTCTTGTATTAGTTTTAAAGGTGGTTTGGAACCTGACTCTTGTTGTAATTTCTCTAACTCTCGTGAAGCAATTTCACTACATCGGAAAAGTTTTACAATTTTTTTCACTTTTATTAAAAGATCTCTGATAGTGGATCGCTGGCAATTTTTATCAGACAAATCATCAAGGTCGCTATCATATTCGACGGTTAATTTAGGAATTTCAGAAATATCTGTCTCACATGCGCGCTTGTTTAAGTTTACTTCAATTAAATTCTGACCAATATTGTTTATGACGTGACCAAAACATGAAATATGCTTAGTTTCCCCAAATTCTTCTTTGATTGCGCCTTTTATATTTGCTCCGCCGTCTGAAAGTATCGCACAGATTTTTTCATCATTAATGTCCCACTCATTGCATATTTCACGAAGCTTTAATCTGAGGATAGCAATCGTTTTTCTGTCTATTAAGTAATACGCTCCCAATTCGTATGAGTTCATTTCGCATTCTATTTGAAATATAAGTAAATTATATGACCAGAAAAATCATAAGTTATTATTAGTAAGCACTATAGACGAGTAGATAGCATATGCCTTTACCTTTTAAATAATGTACTGTTAATCCAAGATAACTACGCATAGTATGTTGATGCGTCCAAATATCGGTGGTTAGACAAACCGAACTTGCTTTTCTTAAATCGATTTTCACTTTTGTTTTCAGTTCTTCATACATCGATTTCATACGCTTCACCAATTTCGGTTCACTTGGCGGCTTATAAAGAAGTTGTAGTTTTTTAACAAACGTTGTAAACCCTTTTTTCCGGCGTACACAAAGGGAGATTATCGACGGCAATCATGTACATTAACGCAATTATTACATTTTCATTTCCCTGTCCACCTTCTGTAAATGTAGGTATAAATAAATTATATGGCCCGTAGTTATAGTCAAAATAAAGTCGACTCTAAAGTTAAAAGCAGGTTTTTTTGACAGATATTCCACCGAAAGTATGTCAAAAAGCTGCTTTTAACTTTAGAGCCGATTTTATTTTGACTATAGCTACGGGCCTATATGTACTACGTGTAATACACATAAAAAACTACTACCTGCCGCCTAACGAATTAACATGCCCCGGTGTGAAAACCAATATGGTATTACCTGAAAATGAAGTCGCAGTGCTTAGGCAGCGATCAATAGTACCTTGTACCACTGGTTTGTTGCTTAAATCCGAGTTCGAAGATAAAAGAGATGACGACGCACGTGCAACTTCCATGTTTGACGCCTCTGTTGCTTTAGCCTTTGTTTAGGCTGAGAAACTTCGTCGTCATTGCAACTTTCGCATGGTTTCCGTGTTGCTTGGTTGGGTGAATTTATGCGAAGGGCTTTTTCTAGATGCTTCCATAATTACGATGTACTATTTTGTAAGCCAGTCTATTGCCACATTTGAGGCATTCCACCTTTGAGCCTTTGTCCACTTTATTGAAGTGGATCCAAACACCACTTGGAGTAATTTATTTTAGAATTTAATTAAATTTTACATGCACATATAATGGTTTTTTAATTCACAATTTTACGATTCTAACTGACGCGCATCTAAAGATGTATGAAAAATCAGAGAATCGAGTTCTCAGAATCGATTCTCGACCGATTCCGAAAATCTAGAATCGATTTGGAAAATCGATTATTTCGAGTAAATCTTCGATTCTGGAGTCGAATCGGAATCGATCTTTCCATCCCTGTGTCTCACATTTATCATGATAGGTTAGTGATGCTTCAATGTGAAATAACGACACTTTTCGTATTGTGCCGTTGTTCATTACATAGTTTGAGTAAGACAATAGGGGTATTCTCCAAATCTTGCAAAGCCATTGCACGTAGCACGGATTGCATGGATTGCATAAATTGCAAACACACAACAACAAAATACATGGGAAACAACATTTCCTATCGCTGCAAAATATGCAACGTCGAAACCCATGTATATATTTTGTGGAAATAGCATAGCAAGATAAATGCGACCCTGTGCTAGTTGTTTTGTGGTTGGAACTGCTACATATTTCTCTCACTCCTCTCCTCTCGCTCATTTCATTTTTTTGTGTGCTGTATCTTGTTATTGTATTTGATACATAATTTCGCTGCTTGCTACCAGCATTGCCAGGTTGACGTTTTTAAAGTCATTTGGACGTTTTTGTATCCTGTTGACGTTTGGACGTTTTTTGTGTAAAAAATTACGTTTTTTAACTTCCGAGTAATTTTTCTCAATCACAATATATTCAATGTATAGCGTACTATTTGCTTGTAGAGTAAGTACTTTCGCTCACACTTTTGG